GACCACAATACCAAACGGAAAGATGAACAACCTCAACACTACCTTCAAGGTCCTTGGCTGCTTCCGATGTACTTATTGCCCTTTTTCAAAACATTTCCCTCTTATGTGTTTGGTTTTTAATGATGGAATCGAGCTCAAATGCCAAAGCATGGAGGAACCAGAGATCAAGGGTGTTACAGACCGCAATGATGCACATTGCGATGTATAACCATCTCAAACGGGGAAAAACTTAGCGATGAAAGTAACCAAGGAACGAGAATTAGGGCAAGAGCGACGAAGGGTGACCATCGTAATAAGCCATCGTTCAAACGTGAGCCGCAGGATTCGATCTGCGGCCTGCGTTTAGCCAAAATGGCGGGATGCATGCTTGGGAAGCCATCACAAATGACCACGATTCGTGGCCAGCCCCAGCATCGCGGGGATGCATGCTTGGGAAGCCATCACAAATGACCACCAGCCCCAGCATCGCACTCCTTCCGCTGAAGCAAACGAACACTAAATCTCAAGCCAGCTCAAAATTTTCGAGCCCGCTCAGCCAAGTTTCAAGTCAGCTCAATTTCAATTCAAGCTAGATTGAACTCGATTCAATTTTGATCCAAATTGGCTTGAAATCATATGCAACGAGCCACGAGCCGGTTTCAAAGCTGGGCACAAATGGAATCTAACACGTCACTTGAAACTTATAATAATAATAATAATAATAATAACATGAATAACAGTAGAGTAAACATTAATTCCATAATTAAAACAGAATTACATATAATTTCTCATACAACCCTATGTACATAAGCCTAACATATTTAACAGATTATAAAAATAAAAATAAGAGCAAAAACACCCTCGGCTTTACAACATTTTATCATTGAGAGTTTTATTTAGCATAATATACAGTGCTAAATTAAACCAAATAAACCTCATCATAAATGAAACCTCTGCCTCCATACCATAACATTTATATACTGATTCTTCCGTCTCTCTGATAGAAATTTATGTCTGCAGTTTTGAAGGAAGTAGAAAGATTAGGTATAACTATAGTTTGGCATATTGTCTCCAAGGGCATCCACCTTCAAAAGCAAATTCTAACACATCATCCATTCTCTTTGCAAACAGAATCTGCAAATTATATAGACATATTGATCAATTCATCAATGTTCATCAGAATTCACCGCACAGAAGTAAGATTCAGTTGAGGGGCTTAAAGAAAATTTTCCTTCTTTTATTTTTCATTAAAAATCATTAAATTATGGCTTTTTGCAAGTAATTTTGTATGTATTTAGGGTCAGTTCGATGCAAAACCTAAGCTTTTATATTTACACACATAGCATTCAAATCATTAATATCACATAAGAAAAAAACACTACTACCATTTTTTGAAGTGAAATACATCTTTTCATGCATAGGTTTAAAGCAAAAGCTTGGGTTTGAGATATGTAAATAAATAGAAATGGTGTGCTCAGATGGAAATTTCCTTAAATAATAATAGAGGGCGGCACACCACTAAGTTTGCAACCAATTAGCAATAACATTGTTTAAAAGCTTAAAAAAAACTGTGATAAGGAAATACATCTTGAACAGATTGGATGGAATCAATTACCTCGAGATCAGCAAGAACAGCTGATGGAACCTCAACCAAATCCTTCATGTTTCGATCCGGCAAAATTACTCTCTTGATCCCATAACGATGGGCTGCTAAAACCTAATTCAAAAATAACAAGAAATCTATTAACGTTGAAAGCTTTTATAATAGTATACGCTTTTTCGCTTAGAAAAATGTGGAAATTTATATAGGTGCCACATAATTCTTATGTATTTACAGATCTAACCCCAAAAGTTTGACATTTACACTTATAATACATTGGTGAAACGTATGAATGAAAATGTTTATTTCATGTTTAGACCTTGGTGAAACTTATGCATGAAAAGGTGCATTTCACTTTTAGAAATATAATGATTGTAATTTTTGATGTGGTATGTATATAAATATCCCCACAAAATAAATACAGAGGTCTTACCTTATCTTTGATACCACCAACTGGCAATACGAGGCCCCTTAGAGTCATCTCCCCAGTCATTGCTGTGTCTGCCCTAACTTTCCTTCGACTGAAGAGTGAAACAAGAGAAGTAACTAGAGTTATTCCAGCCGATGGTCCATCCTTTGGTACGGCGCCGGCAGGGAAGTGTATATGTATATCTCGATTTTCAAGAAAATTAATTTCAGCAGCAGGTGATAGTTTAAGATCTGCAGCTCTGGCTCTCACCTGAAAATTTCATGAAAAGAGATTGAAAAGGCTGAAAATGAAAGATGGAAGCGCCATCTCCTTAAAAAATGGCAAGCTTGTGATTCAGGAGATTCAACATTTTGGAGAATTCAACCCTTGTGATGCCATAGAGTGAAGAAATTATAGGTAGCAGACAGCTTAGGTAGAGAGTTTTAAAAAACGAACCGGATGGGCCGGTTTAACTGGTTCGTTCCAAACTCAAAAGCATTTATGCATAGAGTCGGGATTGATTCGGTTAGAACTAGGCTGAACATGTCAGAACCGGGGAACTAGTCCAGTTTTTTAAGTTTTAAAATTGACCAATTTTAACATTTTGATTTTGATTGAAGGACTAGAACTAAAATATTTAAATTAAAATAGCGAAAATGTCATTTCTTATATTTTTATTTATAATATTATTCAAAATTTTCAAAAATGAAATATCTTAAATTGAATATTGTTTATTAAATTGATAAAAAAATAATATCATTATATCATTATTATATTATTTTAATTATATTAAAATAAATTTATTATTTGTTACGACATCCAGTTGAGTCTCCGGTTCAGCCCCAATAGAGACATTGAACCTTGAACCTCTTCTTCCGGTTTGATTTTCACAACTTCGAGTTCGTTATGTGTGGATAATAGAGTCCATAACTACACATACTAAAACTCACAAAATAGTTGAAATAAACTTGACTAATTGTTGGAATATGGAATGTTAAAGTTTAAATGAATGGTGTAGATTGCATCGTGGGAAATACCCAAGTGAGTGCTATTTGTGCGGATTCTTTGATGACATCACCGAGCTGTCCGGTGAGATGTAAATCTCCTTTCCCAACCATTGTTGTCGCCTCAATAAACTGAACCTCTCCTCCAAAAGAAGTCCACACAAGTCCCACCGAAACCCCTGGGCTTGATACCCGTTCCGCGGCTTCTCCATTGTCAAACCTCGGAGGCTATAAATTACAAACACATTTAATAAACGTAAAACTATTTTTATGATAGTGTTAAAATAGTCCCTTGACTTTTACATGGGGCAATTTTAGCCTCAAAATCAATAGTGTCAAATTAATCCCTCGACTCCTTCAATATGGGCTGAAATAGCCCCCAAAGATGAATATTTTAGCCCCTATTCAAACAGTATGGAGGCTAATGACTCTTTATAAACTTTGAAACTAAAAGGAACATCAACAAAAAGGCAAGGGACCTTTTTAACACTTCTCATCTAATTTTATTAATGAGACTTAGTAAGACCTCATTAACACAAACTTTAACAATTTGAAATTCAATAAGAATTAAATAGCGAAAGTAAGATATTATAACCCCAAGCACTTTCTCGAGTATAGACTCGTCGACGATGAGTGTTGATGTGCTCGTGAAAGCATCAGTCTCATCATGCCTGGAATCCATGGGAATGACTTCCATTTCGACTTCAGCTGAATCAACAAGTCTCGTGTCCAACAACGAAGTTGTGGGCTGATGCGCATTTTTGCCAACTTGGATTATGCATTCTTGTTCGGCCATTTTCACGGCAGCAGCTCGAGCCAAGGAAGCTAAACATCGCTCGAGACTCCGAACACCAGCTTCTCGGGTATACCTTTGAATTATAAGTTTCACCGTGTCCTAAACACAACGAAAAAGAAAAAAATTGAAGCTTAAAACTTGGAGATTTAATGAATAGAAAAAGTCATACTCACTAAAAATTATGGATGCCAATGCATGTAACATATAAAGCAAACAGCCAGTTGGAGTGTAACAACAATAATCAATTTTTTACAATGATGCTATATTAGGAAACTTTTAAATAAGACCCCTTACGTCTTGCATGGGAGAAATTTACATACATACCACAAAATTCTTATATATTTACATATCTAACACCCAAAGTTTGATTTTTACCTTGGTTGCATAAGCCTATGCACAAAAAGGTGTATTTCACTTTAAAAAGGATGTGATGGTGGCATTTGTGATGTGTTGTTAATGATTGGAGTGTTATGCATGTAAATATGAATGTTTAAGTGTTGACATGAAAATACATAAGAATTGTGTGGTATGTATGTAAATGCATTAAAAACATTATTTCCTTGATGCTGAGGTACAAGGTGGGCGGCACGACTGAAAAGAAGGAAACCGAAGATAAAAAAAGAGGCAGTGCAAAAGTGAGAGAAAAGTGGCTGTTACCAGAATTATTTCATTTTTTTTATTTTTTATTTTGAAAACCATCACATAGTAAAATATACCAAAGAATTTCATCATATCAACTATAGATCGACTCATTAAAAATATCAAACTAGCAATACTCTTTCCAACTGTATTTTTTTTCTAAAAATTTCTCAAAAAGCAAGGTAACCGAAATTTCTACAACATAGCAGAGAATAAAACACCTTCATTAGCACTCAACAAGAAAGAATAAAAATAAGGACACATAAAACCGATCAAAGATAGTTGGAGAAGGCTAATGATGATGCTGATGACTACATCATGACTAGGCTTCTACAAACTATTTAATTCAACTTAATAAAATCCTTGTTCATGCATTCCTATTGAGTGCAACAAGGTGTGTTAAAAATCCTGATTCATGCAAACCTTATTAGCAGTTTAGTAGCCGTTTGTGAACGCTGTTCTATTTTTTTCTTTTTTTTTTCTTTTTTTTTTGTTGGGTTTATGGTTTGACTTGAAACAGAACATGTTTGACCAATTGACTAAGGTATGATTTTTTTAAAAATATGCAAAACACCTAAGAATTATTTTGAGTGTTTATTTCACAAACAAAAAATAAAAATACATTAAAAAAACTTTTTTTAAAAAATAAAAGTAAAAAACAAAAATAAGCCCTTAGGAAATATAGAAAAAAAAATATAAATTGAATACCTCTGGAATTTGAAGGAAACTGGGACTTAGCCCGTGTTGATCAATAACTCTTGGAATCAAATGCTTTGTTGCTATTCTCAGTTTTTCTTCCGGCATATATCCGGGAAGCTCAATGACTTCCATTCGGTCTAGAAGTGGAGGAGGTATTGGTTGACTCCTATTTGCCGTCGCAATAAAAATAACCTTCGACAAATCGAACGGAACATTCAAATAGCTGTTAGTAATGCATTAAGGAAGTGACTTAGCAATGCTGAGATAAGTTGCAAGCTGCTATTCAGTAATTTTTAACAAAAATCCTCATTAATATCCTAATATTAATGAACTATAAATATGAAAAGAAAAAAATGTTTCCTAGAATAAAATTGTGAAGGGATACTGATCATTGAATGTTCCATTCTGCTCGGGGTCTAGAACTTCGAGCAGCGCCGAAGCTGGATCTCCACGGATATCTGAACCTGTCTTATCAATTTCATCGAGCAGCATCACAGGATTGCTGACACCCACTCTCTGCAATTAAAAAAAAAACATCATGATTATTAAAGGGAAAGATTAAGAGAAATTTACATGCCTAGAAAACAATTCTATATCTCAAACCAAAACTTTTCATATTTACATACACAACACTTTGGTGCTTAAAACCTAAGCATGAAAAGGTGTATTAACTTTTAAAAAGTCATTATAGTGCTATTTTTTATGTGAAATTAAAGATTTGAGTGCTATGTGTGTAAATATGAAAGTTTACGTGCGAGATAAGTAAATGCAGAAAAATTGTGTTTTATGTATGTAAATGCCTCAAAGATTAAAAGCAGCAATTTTTCTAAAAGGAGAACAGTTTAAGAGCCACTTTATTCCTCTTTGTCAACCTTATTTGAAGTTGCAACAAAACTAAAACAGGTTTGATCTTTTTTTTTCATGGACTGACTGAAATTCGGAACCTTGGAACATGGTTTAACTTAGCGGAAAATTCTAAAAAAAAATGTTGAAATTTAGAAAAAAAAAACTTTTTATGTCTTAAAAGAGTGATTTAAGAAATTATGAGAACACTTGGTGAGAAACTTTCAATTTATGTACCAATTTTAATACAAAAACAAGATTTTAGTTGATTACATGAATCATTTTTCACCACTGGGTGTCATATTTTTATTTAGCGGAAATTCTAAAAAATAAAATGTTGAAATTTAGAAAAAAAAACTTCATATTGCTTAAAAAAGTGATTAAAAAAATTATGAGAACACGTGGGTGAGAAACTTTCAAATTATGTGGCAATTTTATATAGCACAACAACAACAAGCTTTTAATCCCACAAAGTGGGGCCATTTACATGAATCATTTTTCTCCTCTGAGCGTCATATTTTCATTTAATTCTAATAAGTTCAGATCATTTTTTTATACAACATGCCCGAATCTATGTAGCTCTACCTCTACCTTTCTTAGCATAAGGCAATTTTACACGCAATATCTATATCTTGCAAATTTATCAAAATAACACCCAATCCTAATATTAAAGTACACAACAAAACTATCAACTTGTAATAATTACATTATCAAAAATATGAATCTGCAAAACTTTTCACAAATTACTAATTACAACTACAAAGACCAACTAGAAAGACATTTAAAGCATTAAGCACAAATAAACAACCATAGAATTCAAATAAGTTCTATAATAATGCAATGTTGCTCACCTTCAATCCTTCAATAAGACGCCCCGGCATGCTTCCAATATAAGTCCTACGATGCCCTCTAATATCCGCTTCGTCCTTCACGCCGCCAAGAGATATCCGTACAAATTTTCTGTTTAAAGCAGAGGCGATTGACGAAGCCAAAGACGTCTTCCCAACGCCAGGTGGTCCGACAAAACAAAGCACAGGACCTCGAGCATCTGGTTTGAGCTGCATTTTTGTTGTTGCATGAACAAGAAAAGTGGGTCGATTAAGTAAGAAAAAAACAAACCTTATAATCTTCATCTAGTCGAAACTGAAATCACGAATGTTAACCCAACCTTACGAACAGCCAAATACTCGATAATGCGTTGTTTGACTTTGGCTAGACCGTAATGATCACAATCGAGCTGCTCCTTGGCAGCTTTAAGATCAATCTCATGTTCTTCCGTGACCTTCTCCCATGGAAGATCAGCAAGAAGTTCAAGGTAAACACGCGAACCACTGTAACCGGGCTGCTGAGGTTGCATTTTCTTCAGCCGTCTAAAAGATTAAAATTTAAGTAAGAATCTATAGGAAGCAGCTTCGGATTGATAATGCTCCAAATTTAAGGAAATTCCTGCTGGGTTAAACTTTTAATTCAACATTAGATCAACTTAGTTAATTGAGATAATAAGACTTTGATGTATTTTTCTCTGAGTATAAAAATGTAGAAGCTTCTCGTGTGCATATTTAAAATTAGGGGCATTTACACACATGGCACAGCATAAGTTAATGATGTTTTATGTATTAATAATATCATTCCGTTGAGATATACAAGGAACACAAAAAAATTCATATTTATATACATATCACTCAAATGGGGCAGCTTATAAGTGTGGGCGGCGTTTTGAAAATGCTCCTGTACCGTTTGGTTTGCAAGTTTCGCCAGCTTATCCGAAACTTTGTTTGGGTTTTTACACTAAATGCGGGCCGCGGGTCGACCACTGCGGCCGGCCCGCGGGCAGCGTTTCAGGATAAGCAGCTTATCCTGAAACGCACAAGCTGCCCCAAACGGACCCTTAGGCTGTGCATGGGCAGCAATGCGGCGACGACGACACAGAGACCATCAACAACAATGACATGTAGTAGAGCAGATGTGATGATACGATACTTGCTTGTGTGTATAATGTATTTACCATATTAGAAGACGAACCTTGATATAGAATCCATCATTTATCATTAGAGATAAAAACAGTAGATCCAAGGAAAGAAACAATCCAAGAAGCTCAGAAAGATGTTTGTCATTGATGAAGTATTCAAATAGTCTTCTTAAGATCGTTAAATTGAGTGAGATGGGTTGGACCCTTTGTATTATGCGACGCGACGAAGCGATCGTTAAATTTTTTTCGACAATATTGACGAGGATAATTGTTGTAAACGCATTAACAGCAGGGATAGTAAGTATTATAGCAATGGTGAGTGACATACAAACCACCCACATCTTATTTATTTGCGCATCTAACTTCACAAATATTTCATATCACATAAAAAAAGAAATAACACTATTTGAACTTTAAAAGTGAATTATACATTTTCATGCATAGGTAGATGTGTAAATACATAGGAATTGACAGGTATGTGTGTAAATTGTCCTTGACATATCCTAATCTTTTGGCCTTATTAATGATATAGAAATCTAGAAGAAGATGTTATTAATAAATTACATGATTTTGAGATATTCCAACTATCCTAATCTTTTGGCCTTATTAATGAACGACTTGATTAGTTGATGTTAACTTGAAACAATATTCTTTTAATGTAAAAAAATATATATTTTTTAAAATTGTTTATTGTAAATAATCTTTTGGCCTTATTAATGAACGACTTGATTAGATGATGTTAACTTAAAACAATATTCTTTTAATGTAAAAAATAAATATATTTTTTTAAATTGTTTATTGTAAATATGATTGGTTTTAATATGCTAATTTTATAGTACATGATGATTAAGTAGAAGCAGATCAACTAATAGCTTTTACTTTATTTTAAATTAAAATTAATTGTAATTCTTACAAATTGGGTCTCGTAATCATTAACATTCTTTGATTTTTGCTCCACTTATCTTAATTCTTCATCAACTTGATACGATCCATCATAGGGAAATATTGCTCCAAAAATTGTCTAAAAATATGTTTAAGGAATTATCGTGTCTGGTCCAAAGTATTGCAATAGCGACTCTCCCACTAATCGTTAGCTCCATCACATAACTAGAATTTAGTAATGAGCTCTTCTTGATGTAATGAAACCAGACATCTAACTCGATTGGGCACACTGGCCATTGAAAATAAGAGGGTGTACATTCAGAAATTAGTTCATCACTCGTTTCATGATAATCTCATTTGCTATCACTACTGATTGGTTAGGTTGAGCCTCCACGGTGGCAACAAATGCTACAGGTTGAGCTACAGGTGGTGTTGGTTGCACAACTTGTTGGGTAGGTTGAATTGCCTGTGAGATTTGAGCTGCAATGTTAGATTGTAATGCATGTGTGATATTATGTATCATTTTTTGCACAAGAGTCAATATATTAATAGGAAGTGCTATGATAGCCTCGGCGGGTTGAGTAAAATCAACATGACGTGAATAGAGGAGCAAGGACCCCTTGGGCATGTACACTTCTATAGTTGTTCTCGAAACTTCTATTGTGTGAGTGATAATAACACTTATGCTCTTTAGATCCATTATAAGCAATTAAAATTTAAGCAAAATAAATATCGAATAAATAACTAGCTAAACTAGAACAACGTATCCCTTACCAGTCTAAGAAGGAGGGATATTAAGTTAAAAGATAATGAGTATTGTTTAATTATGATTTGTTCGTGAATCACACCCAATGAATTGAGTGTAAATGAACCGCAATCAATTGTGTCTTATTCATAAAATGTTTCCAATATTTATAGAGGATGGTGCAATGATGATATTCCATCTTTGTTCATGCTTGAATTCATGCTTGAAAGTGATCTGAATTATGACGTTTATGGTATTTTACATGTATGAGCTCATCGTTCGGCTACTTTTTGGCCCGACCGACTAAGTTTAACTTATTTTGGGTCAACGAGATAAACTCGGTTAGCTGATCTTATTCAACATGAATCGATCGGTTGATCTAGCTTGAATTTCAATCCTCGATTCCTAATGAGAAGCCTTTAGGGCGTTCATGAGATGATTGGAGACATGGTAGAACTAGATCTTCTCTCGGATTAAATCAACTGGAGGGTAGGCCATTGTATCAGGTCGGCTTTCTTTTAGTAGTTGGCTCGGATGTTCTTTTGTCTCATTTTTGCCGAATGACCCATGCCCGGATCATCTAATAATTTTGTTGTTTGCCTCATGCTCTGGTCAATTTTGGCCTTATTGGCTTGACCCTTATGCATTACTTGCTTGATCAAGTGGGCCTCACAATCTCTTAGGGTTTGTTTGGGACAGTTTTTTGTCTGTTATGTTTTTCAAACCGTCACCACAATTCTAATTGAGGAATTGATTTCTTATTGCTTTTCAAAAATTTATGTGGTAGAAAGCTGCTTTTTCAATATGAGCTGTTGAAGTGAGGTGTTTGCCAAAAAACTGTGTTTTGAATTTTTGAAAATAAAATAAATTTATAAAAGTTACGGCAGCTTCTTGAACAATAGTTTCTCCTGAAGCTTTTCAATCAGTTGCAACTGCCTCAAACAGAACCTTAGTAGCGAGTCAGCCTTCACTATACTTTTTTGTTTGATCTCTTTAAGATCAGTGCTGACAAATTTTATGTACAACAGTAGTTGTTAGAAGGTAAAATTTTTTAATTATGTTTAGCCCTATAAATTCTTTTTATAAAAAA